AACTTAAATGCACGTAATGGAATGCAAAAAAATAAAATTGAAAAAAAATCATAAAAAATTGGAGAAAAAAAAATAAGTCAACTTAGGTTAACTCAACTAACTCGCCACTCGCGACTTTAAATTAGAATAAAGAAATTAGACTTAAAAAAATGATATAACAAAAAACACTAAAGTTAAATAAAAAACATTGAGAAAGAAAATGCAATCTAACTTAAGCTAACTTGACTAATCCGCATTCAGGATAACCTAACAGAAATAAAGTGAAAAAATCAAATAGCTCAATGATCAATAATTTAACGCCAAATGGTGAAATTGTAAAAAAAAGTGAATTTCATGAAAAAAACATTGAGAAAATAAATTTTAAGTCAACCATGATTAACTTGACTAATTTGTTACTTGGAATAGAAAAACAAAATAACTCAAGAAAAAACAAAAATGGAACAAATGATTAAGTTAATATCCTAATAACTGAATATCAAATGATGACTTTGAAGAAAAAATCAATTTTCAACAAAGGACCCTAAAAAAAGGCTGAACTTAAATCGGGCTCGGTCATGAGGCTAGGATTACCTTATTAAAAGGCAATTATAAAAAAATAACAAAGTAAAATATTCAACCATGAAACAATTTAAAATCCAAACAATGCAAAGTACATGTGGTATAAAAACAAAATGAAAGAAAATAAGTAGGGGTTAAATTGAAAAAAAAACTATGAAAAGAATATAAAAAAAGTTATCAAAAGAACAAGGACCAAAATTAAATAAAAAATCAAATAAAATTAAATGTTAAGGGAAAAAAGAAAAAGAAAAAATCAAGAAAAAGATAAGAATAGAACAATAAAAAGAATGATGATCGAAATTAAATTAAAAAACAAATACAATAAAATGACAAGGGACAAAATTGCAAAACTGTAATAATTAAGAAAAGTATAAAACATAAAAATAGAGCAATTAAAAGTAGAGGGATCAAATTGGATAAGAATATCAAATGAAATAAAATGTACAAGGATGAATTTGAAAAAAGAAGAAGCTAAACTTCAAAAAGCATAAAAAAAAAAAACCACAGGACAAAATTATGTTTTGAAAAAGCTTGCATGAATTTCAATGGAACGAGGAAAAAAAGAAAGAGCAAAGAAAAAACTCCACCAAAACCTAATCAAACCTCCTTTGAAAAGAGAACTATTTGCCACTTTCAATATTGTTATAAATGGAGGATTTTAGTAATTAGATAGCCCAACACGTGCCATCAAAATGGTAGAGAGGCCGTCATATATAATCATTTTTTAATTATATTTAATCACTGAAAATTATCAAACAACCCCAAATCAAATCTAAAAATAACAAAAAAATAGAACAAAAGGACTAAAACACCCTTAAAATCAACTCTTTTTTTTTTAATTCTAAAGGTAATTTCATCATTACTATTAAAAAACAAATAAAAGATGAAGAAACTCCTTTATGCATGTTCATTGTTTTTTATAAGAGTAAGAGCCCCTCACCGAAAGTTTAAAATGTTTTTGCTTTTAAGAATAAAATAATCTTTTATTATAATAAAAAAGGTGTACCGATCATTTTGTCTCTAATAATTTTTCTAAAGATCAATGTATCATGTGAAAAAAGAAAAACAATTACCCCTAATTGCAAGCTTCATCGGTGTTTTTGTCAAGGGTAAAATCATAATTTGATTTCTCCATTGAACAATGAGATGTGTTTAAGGTTTTCTTGATGCCTTTTATTTTTTTGTAATTATTCACAAAATAATTTGGGTTGTAGTGGCCCGTATTACTGTGGATTGTTACAATGAATTAATAATTTATCCCTATAATGAAAAACCATTAGCCTTGATTTTGGGATAAAGTTATCTTTTTACAAGGATATATTGATCATTGTTGATTTGAGTGGGTTAATTTTGTTATTTGCACAAAATGCGAATAATAAAAATATTATTATATCCTTACGAGAAAAAAAATAAAAATACTATCATATCCTTACAAGATAAAAAATATCCTTTCATATGAAAGCTTTATTATCATTTCATTTTTCATTGCAAAATGTGATTACTTTCATATCCTTATAACCAAAAAAAAATAAAAATAAACTATAGTATAAGGGCATTTTAGACATTTTATCCTTGTTTTTTCATTATATACAATGTGCAGGAGGGTTAGTTTGGTTCTTTTAAAATATATATAAAAATTGAGTTGTAGTCAGCTAAAGAACACATGCTTTTACATGAGGATGGTCGTTGCATTAAAATAGCATGTGCTCCCTTCTTCGACATCCAAAAATGTATTATCGTTATGCCATCAACACTGTCGCATGGTAGTGCTTCTATCATGTATTGTTTTTCCTGACAGTTTGGCAACGACCGAGTTTCCTCTATCTTTTCTATTTAATGGACGTGGAATGCTTGTTGGCTAAGCAAAAATTGATACGTGTCCTCCCATTTTTAATTATTATTATTTTTTTAATTTTATCTTTTGAAACTTAATTTAATTTAATTATATATATCAATTTTAATTCTTATTTTTTTAATTGTTATTTTTTATATCATTTGTTTTGTTGACTTTTATTGTTCAATTTTATCCCACATTATTTAATTTCTTTTATCTTAAATTTAGTACTTGTTATTTTAATTATTTTTTTCTTTCCATCTTTTTTTAATTAATTTTCTTTTAATATTTTAGTAGTTTGTAGTTTGAATTGTAATTGTTTCTAGCACAATGATCCTAATCTCATTATTCAAGTCATAAATATTAGATATTAACTTGAATTGACATCATTTTTTCTTTTTTAAAATCAATTTTCTTTTTTTGATTTTATCCTTCAACAATATTAACTTTATTAAAGATTAAGCTCTTTTATTTTATTTTATTTTCAATTTTCTTTTTGTGTAGATAGCCCAACTTCACAATTTAAGTTGCGAGTTTACCATATAAACTCAAATTGGCTAAGCCAACGTAATTGTGCCTTCTTTTTTTGGTCCATTAATTTTTTTTTCATCTTTTTTTATTTTTTTTTCAATTTCATCCTTTAATTTTTTTTATTGGATATTTTTGTTAGCTTTGTTTATAGTGTTTCTATATTAGAATATTATTTAATTTAGTATATAGCATATTTGTTTTTTATTTTCTTAAATTGATGCTTTTTAATCCCCTTAAAAATTAAAAAATCATTTAATTATGTTGTCGAATTTTTGTTTTTTAAAGGGTTTTTTTGGCAAAAAATCCTCTCTCTCTTTTTTAGTCATACTTTCAAAAAAAATTAAAGCTTTTGTTTTGTTTAAGGATCTTGAATCACCTCTATTTTTTTTATAAATAAATAAATTTTTATTTGGTATAAAAAAATTTCATGCATCTCTAGTTGCCATATGTTTAGACAAAAAATGATGTTTTATATAAAAACAATTGTTATATAAAATGGAATTCAAGACCTCGATCACTAATTTGATTAATTAACCCTAATTAACTTAAGAATCTTTTTTTTTTCAAAATGAAAATTTTTATTTTTAGTTTTACCTATCAATTTTTTTGTGTTTTCTATAAAAATACATAAGCCTATAAATTCATTTTTATTTGCTAAAATTACAAATACCAAGCCATTATATTCTTTTTTTCCTAAAAAATTATTTTTCTTATTCACAAGTCAAATACTATTTATCTATAGAGCGAAGAGCATGGGTCTTTTATTATAGCCCAATTCACCATAAAATGTGTTGGACTATAGTAAAATTATCTTTATGTCTTTGGGTCTAAAAACATTAAGCTTTTTAGGTGGAGGTATTGATATCTTTTTTAATTTTTTTATATAGTATAAATATTTTTTCACCTTTAAAATCAATAAAATATAGAACTGTTGATCAATAACTTTCTTAACTGTATATAAACTTCTTAACAATAAAAATATGTATTTTTTCTATAATAAAAAAATTATGATGCTACAAGATAATATATAGTGCAATTATATCTTTAATATAGTAAGAGATAACAGATAAGCTTAACATTTAAGAGTATACCGTTGTCGGGGGGCATTTTGATATTTTTATATTTTGATTGAATCTTTTTAATGCTTAAAGATGCTAGAGTGTGCTTGACACACCCTAGTGCGTTGATGACATGCATGTTATTCTATTCAAGCGATGTATGTGACGTTACCTAATAGACATAACTGGCATTTCATTGTTTTTCTAGATGTCGTATCTTTTTTCATTTAAAGTAACACATGACAATTGATGGTGGTCAGATTGTCACCAGTAATCATTTGATTTTTTCTATTTTTTTCTCTCTTAACAGATAATGTATACTATTGTCATCTTTTTTTCTTACTTTTCAATTTCAGTCCTCATGCTATTACTTATTTTATTTTATTTTATTTTGTTCCCTTATCATTTATAGAAGTTTATTCTTTTAATTTCACAATTCAATCAAATTTTTTGTTGTTTTATTTTTTTAATTTGATCCTCATTCTTTCAATTTATTTTATTAAAGCTATTTTTTAATTGAATTAAACCCTCTAATTGAAATTTTTCATCCCTCTAATTAATGTTTTTTCCTCACCCTTATTATTTAGATTCTTTTATGTAATTAATATTTTTTCTAATTTCATCTTTCAACATTTAATTTGTTGAGCATTCAATTTCATACAATTTTATTAATGTTTTTTTATTATCTTCAAGTTTTTTCTATGGATTTATCCCAATCTTATGATATAAATCATAATTTTTACATTTTTTTTAAATTAGCTTTTTTGAGTTTTTCTGATTCTATTTTATTTTTCAAGGTATTATTTTAATTCATATATATATATATATATATATAGTTTTTTAGGATGTAAATTTATTTATTATTTATTTATTTAAATAAATAAATCTAATAAATACAATATTTTTTATTTTTTATTTTTTATTATTTTATATAAAAAAATATATTAAAGCACTCTGCATACCTCATAATGTTTTTTTTCAAAAAACAAAATTTATATTAAATGACCAGTTTTATCGATACAATAAGCCTGTAATCTGTGGAGGGTCAGTCATGAGTGGGATAGTGTTTCACCAGCAGCAGTTGGTGTTTCTTTCCCATCATTTCAATGATGCGAAATGTTGTTCAGTTCCAAGAATTAAGGGGCAAAGAGTGAGCTTTCCTAATTTGCAACATGGATATGCTGCTTCTTGTGCAAAATTTGTCAAGTTATCTCCACATGCTACAGTCAGTGGCTCTGGTGGTGCCCAATATTCTGGTAACCAGTTCTAACACCATGTAATTTCTGTTTCTTACTTTTGTGGACATCATCACTTCACCCTTGTTTTTGAGATCTTGTTCTGCTAGTTTGTGACTTGTGAGGGTTTTATTAATTTTTATTGTTTTTGATTTTCGATCTCCAGAGCAGTGGCTGGATGCTAGAACAAAGCAGAAAAGAGAGAAAATTGCTGGTATAGATCAAGATGAATTATTAGACCCTTCACTTTTAGCTGATCCAGATAGTTGTTTTTGTGAGTTTAGAGGGGTACAGATACACCATAAGGTATATGATGCAGAATCACAGGCAAATAATTCATCTCAAAGCCACACTCTTTCTCAAGTTGCTCGTAATAATTCTTGGAAGCTTGGTCTTCCTATGATCTTGTTACATGGTTTTGGAGCTTCTGTTTACTCATGGAGTCGAGCTATGAAGCCTTTGGCTGAGCTCACTGGCTCCAAAGTTCTTGCCTATGACAGACCAGCTTTTGGATTGACATCCAGGGTGGATGTTCCCACGCATTTATCAACTGGTACCAACGATGCAAAACCATTGAATCCATACTCCTTGTCATTTTCAGTGCTTGCTACCTTGTACTTCATTGATTTCCTGGCAGCTGAGAAGATAGTTCTTGTGGGGTATGCTCATTTCTCATGTTATATTGGTGTGTTCACTGCAGGCTTTTTCATGATTCAATGATTTTGTTGTCACATTTAATTTGTGGGCTTGTGAGGATGGGAGAGGATAGCGATCTTCTGGTGTCATGAAAAACACATGCATCAGAGACATTTTGCCTAATGATGATTAGAGAGCATTAATGACACTAATTATGTGTGTGTGTGGGGCCAGCATCTACTGTTGTTATGTGAATTTTTGCTTCGATAATCCTGTTTGTGTGCTCGAGGAGAAATTATATCGTTCATTCCTATGGCTTTGATAATCCTTTTAATTAGTTTTGTATATCTATTCGCCAGAACTTTGTTTAATGTTTGCCAGTAAATGGGGTAGGATATGTGGCACCAGGACTAGAAAATAGGGGCGTGAGTGCACCATAGAAAAATAGACTAAACTATTCCTGTGGAAAGTCTCTTGTTTTTGGTTTTCAGTTTTGGATAAATCATTAAAAATGGTCTATACTTTTACCCTCATCATTAATATCTTGCTGCAAATTGCCTTCTCTTCTCCCATGTCACTTTTGTGAAATCTTGCGACTTTCTGAACTTGTTTAAAAATTTTACATACTAGGCACTCAGCTGGTTCTCTTGTAGCAATTGATTCATATTTCGAGGCTCCTGAATGCATTGCAGCTCTGATTCTCATTGCCCCAGCAATACTTGCTCCACGTGCAGTTCAAAAGCTTGCGGGACAAGATAAAGTTGGAAGAGAAAACCAGACTGAAGGGGACATATCAAATTCAAATATGTTAGCAAAGCCATTTATCAAGATTTTTGAGATTTTATTGAAGTTTATTACAGGCATTACTCAAGCAATAGTGCAGATGGCAAAGGGGATGACAGATATGCTTAGCTCAATATATAAGAAAGCATTGTCAGCTATTTTGCGCTCTGCCTTTGGTGTAATGCTGGTATTTTTCTTTGTGCATGGTCTAAATATTTTCTTTGCAATATTTCTAGATCTTGGTTATTCAATTGATTGTTGAGAACTGTTAAAACTAAAATATTAAAGACTACTCGCATGCAGAAATGTTTCTGGTGTTATCATACCAATTTCAGTAGACACCAGCAGAGTAAATAGATGTGTAGCAATTATAACAAAAAAAATAATTTTCCTAGAAATAGCGTTCTCCTCACACATGCCCAATGCTTTTTTTTGTGAACAGTACATAGCCAACATTTTATATTACAAAGGAGATTTTCGAACCCATGACCTCTTGGGGAAGAGGAACTTGGGTGCTGATTGATCTGCAAACTCATTTACATGATATAGCCCATATTATTAATGCAGATTTTAGAAAGTCCCTTTTCTTCTCTCTTTGTTCTTTTTTTTTT